AGGAGGCAACTGGTGATGGTGGAACGTGGGCAGGCTTGCAGGCCTCTGGGGCCTCTGCCCCCAGGCCTGGCCCCCTCCCAGAACTGTCCATGAAACTGTTATCCAAGGGCTTGCTGCCCTCCCTGGGAGCCAGCCGGGGGCTATGGACTTGGGAGTCCTGAACTGGACCAAGGCCCAAAATGGTATGACAACACTCAGAGGCCCTTGGGTAGCCACCACCCTCTGGGTTCTGTGACTGAGGCTGGTTTGGGGCTAAGGGTTAGCTCTGGTACTGGGGCCCTCTCTGCAATTCGGCCCCAGCCCTACCTCCTTTAGAGAAAGCCCGGCCAGCCCAGCCAACCCAGCCCTAGCAGCCCTCCGCTGGCCTGGCCAGAAGGACCTGGTCTGAAGCTCAGCGCCCCCTGACCCATGTCACACCACCAGGCCTCAGTCTCCCCTCTGTGACCAGTTGGGTTCCCTGGCGATGAGGACCTGGCCCTGGGCCCAGCCTAGCCCATGGCCAGGGTGTCATTTACTGCCTGGCTCTGCGTCTTCCGGGCCCCTGGGCCCCGTGCAGCCCTGCCTGACCTCCTTGCCTGGGGACTGAGCTCATGAGGGCTTCCAGCCATAGGCTCAAGTCTCTGACCTTATTAAAAATACATACTCACACTTCCCAAATGCAGACGTAATGAACGAGAAGCGGAGTCACTGTTGTCTGAGCCTCAGAGGCAGGCGTCCTGCAGAGTCATGCAGCCTCGCTCCAGCCCCGCTGACTCATTGCTCTCCGACCAGCCCGAACCGCCATCCTGGGCTTCCTCAGACAAAGCCTGCCCAGTTGGGCATAGCCTAGGGGTCAGAGGCCCGTGCGGGGAAACGGACGCAGAAGCCTGGCGGGACAGAGACCCCGCTCTGCGCCCAGCCTGCACTCAGCGAGGTCTCTGGGTCCCCACCATGGCCCACAGAGGCAGGACATTCTAGTCCCTCTCCCACGAGCACCGGGGCGACATTCTCACAGAGACGGGCAATCACCTGCCAGCATGCACTGCTGGGCGAGGAGGCTAGCTGATGTCTGACTGTGGGAAGGTCAGGGATGCCTCCCGGGTCAGGGAGCACCTGAGCACTCCTGGTGGGAGCAAAGGAGCAAGTGTGCAGGGAAGAGCATTGCACACAGAGGGAACAGCCAGTAAGGAGGCCCTGAGGGGACATCTGACATGCTGGAGAAGCAGAGAGAGGCCAGTATGGCTGGAGTGGGGCCAGGGTTGGGTACAGACTCAGAGGGAGCCTCACCAGCCACAGTAAGGACTCCTTCTGGAACGTTCTAAAGAGGGACAGACATGATGTCACTTCCATTTTAAAAGAATTTCTTGGTGGCCAGGTTGGAAATAGAGGGCGGGCAAGGGGAGAAGCCAGAACGCAGCTGGTTTCCCCTAGCTGCCCAGGAGGCATTGGGAGGGAGCAGAGAGAGGCATCGGGGGTTTGGTCTGAACAGCTGGGAGCAAGGGTTGTGCTTATGGACATGGGAAGGCTGGGGAGGGGCAGGTTTGGGCAAAGCCCAGGAGGCCAGCCTCCCACACAGCCACCAGACAGACAAGTGGGGGGGGAGGAGCAGGAACAGATGGAACTTTCTGGAGTCCAGGGAGGGCCGGCTAGGTGAGGTGCCCCAGGGGCTAAGTGCAGACAGTGAAGAAACTGGGCAGGAGGGATGGGCCCTGAGAGCCAGTGTGTCCGAAGGAACTATTAGCATGAGAACATTGCTGCCAGGGGCCCTTCCAGGCACTGGGAGGAGCCGGGCTTAGAGCCCAAGTCTGGGGCAGCCCGGGGCTGCGCATCGGTCACCTCCGCCGTGGCAGGAAGACGCGCGTCGTCTCCCTCACCCTGCTGTCCCTCCTGTAAGGGCAGGACCAAACTGCCCAGAACCGCGGGGGCAGAGCCCACTGAAGAACACGGTCCCCGGGCTTCCAGCCCCCATGGTGCCGGTGGGAATGACACCATCTGCCAAGACAACATCCAGATGTCCCATGCACGTAGGTGGGGACACAGGCTCTCTGAGGTCCTGTGGCTTGTCCAGGAGCCCTCAGGTCATCTCATTTCTCTGTTTTCTTAGCATGAAAATGGGAAGAAACCATGAAGGAAAAGATGGATTTGACCTCAAAAAAAAAAAGAGAAACCCCTGTGTGCTCTGTGTGCCAAAAAATACTTTACACAAAGTTAAAGGGCAAATTACAAACTCACAAAAATAACTATCATATTAGTGAACATATTTATTGCTTTACTCTATAAAGAGTTCATAGGGGCACCTGGGTGGCTCAGATGGTTAAGCGTCTGCCTTCGGCTCAGGTCGTGGTCCCAGGGTCCTGAGATCGAGTCCCACATCGGGCTCCTTGCTCAGGGGGGAACCTGCTTCTCCCTCTGCCGCTCCCCCTACTTGTGCCCTCCCTCTCCCTCTCTCTCTCAAACAAAATCTTTTAAAAAATAGAGCTCATAAAAATGGTTAAGAAAAATATTGTCCCAATAAAAAGTTAGCCAAGAATGTAAATTGATAATTCACAGAAGTACAAATAAATGTCCAATAAACATAGGAAAATTTCACTGCTAATAAAAAAATTCAAAATAAAACAACGAGATACCAAAACGTATCTAATAGATTGCCCGCCCCCCAATTTTTTTAATGACACTGCAGGGGAGTTTATTTTGATGTGCTTTGCACCTGTCGGGGGCCAGGTCCACACTTCGGCTTCATACTGTATTAACTGTCCTGTGGCCGCATCCTCAGTTCCACGGAGCATCACGGCTGTGGCAGCCTTGCTCCCCTGGGACAATAGATGTGACGCCCCCCCCACTGACACTTAGGCTCTTAACCTTTCCCCTTGCCCTGAACTTCTTTCTTTTTCTTTTCAGAAAGGAGTAAAACATTTAGTGGGTATAAACGTATTACATACACCCGACGGATACAGTTAGGCATCAGATGCAACATAGTATTTGCAAAATCTTTACCTTACAATTAACATGGCAGGTTTAATACAACGTATATGAACGAGTCTAAAATGTACAGCACAGGAAGACAGATGATGATTTTTTTTTCTCCTGAAGTTGAAAAGCTTGGAATGTATGTCCAGCATTAACGGAAAACATTTTGTCTTTCAGTGTAAAGAATTGTGCAAGGCTGACATTCCAGCACATTAAGTTAGGGCACTCCTCAGTTCCAACGGGAGAGCCGAATGACAGTGGCCAGTTGGACACAGGCAGAAACCGCCAACGTTTCAATCGATAAGAATAAGGCAAACGATAGGGGGGAAAATGCTTGAAAAAGTTTTCTTCTGAAATGCCCTGAACTTGTCGTATTTGGGTATCTCCTGCATTTTGGATGGTTCCCTTCCATCCCCAGAAGTGTGATTGCTGGGTTAAAGGGGACGGGAGTATAAGGTGCCTGAAACATATTCCCAGACTCCTTGCAGGAAAGGCTCCTCGGCACCTGTTCCCCCACCGGCTAAGGCTATGCGGGCAACACTGGATGTTCTTTTTCATGCTTCTTCTTTTCAAAAGCTTAATTCCTTTTTTGAATAAGTAGCGCGTGGCAACACAGGTTACCAACCCCAAGGTGTTGCAGTCTCCCGGCACGACCCCCTCCCCCTCCGAGGGTAGAGTCCCTCCTGTTACTGGTGATTCCTGCCTGGCTTTGCACACCCAAGGAGTCCCGCAGAGGCCCCCTTACTGTTTTCTTTTCCTTTGGGGGTTACTTTTTTTTTTTTAAGATTTTATTTATTTATTTGACAGAGAGAGAGACAGCCAGAGAGGGAACACAAGCAGGGGGAGTGGGAGAGGGAGAAGCAGGCTCCCCGAGGAGCAAGGAGCCCGATGCGGGGCTCGATCCCAGGACCCTGGGATCATGACCTGAGCTGAAAGCAGATGCTTAACGACTGAGCCGCCCAGGCGCCCCGAGGCTTACTTTTTTTTTTTTTTTTAAGATTTTATTTATTTATTTGAGACAGAGAGAATGAGAGAGAGAGAGCACATGAGAGGGGGGAGGGTCAGAGGCAGAAGCAGGCTCCCTGCCGAGCAGGGAGCCCGATGCAGGACTTGATCCAGGGACTCGGGATCATGACCTGAGCCGAAGGCAGTCGCTTAACCAACTGAGCCACCCAGGCGCCCGAGGCTTACTTTTTTAATAACTCGTTTGGAAACCTTTATAAGAGCTTGCTCGTCTTTTCTCTTACTGTGGTAAAACACACGTGAGGGCCCCGCATCGGGCTCCCTGCTCCGTGGGAAGCCTGTTTCTCCCTCTCCCACTCCCTCTGCTTGTGTTCTCTCTTTCGCTGTGTCTCTCTCTGTCAAATAAATAAATAAAATCTTAAAAAAAAACACATACACATGTGAGGTAGAATTTTTTTTTTTTTAAGATTTTATTTGTTTGACAGAGAGAGCACAAGGAGAGGGAGAGAGAGGGAGAAGCAGGCTCCCTGCTGAGCAAGGAGCCCGATGTGGGACTCGATCCCAGGACCCTGGGATCATGACCTGGGCCGAAGGCAGCCGCTTAATGACTGAGCCACCCAGGCGTCCCGCGTGAGGTAGAATTTACCATCTTAACCATGTTAAGCGCACGCTTCACATTGCGCAGCCATCCCCACCCTCCGTCCCCAGAACCTTCTCCTCTTCCCCAACCATAACTGTCCCCATGAATCCCTAGCTGCCCACCCCCTGCCCTCGCCCCTGGCGCCCAGCATCCTGCTTTCTGTCCTGGGAATCTGGCTCCTCCAGGGGTCTCCTATTTGTGAAATCACATATTTGTCCTTTTGGAGCGTTCGTTTTAATGCATCATTTCCATGTTTATTTCTGTGTTTGCCCCCAGCTCACCATCACTATCCAGGAGCACCCTAGGGACCACATCCTGGGTGGTGGTCAGAGGGTCTGGGTCTGAGGCTCTGCGCACTGCTCTGGGGGGAGTGCCCCGACTGAGCTCTTCCCCCGTATGGAGGGGCACCTGGCCCTGGCCCATGGCCCCCTCCTGGCTGTTTCTTTTCTAGACTCTGAGCCCCCAGAAGCAGGCATTCATTTTGGAGGTCCTGTCCGGGTGCCTCGAGTACCGGAAGCTGCTGGCCGTGGTGGTGGACGCCTTCTACGTGCGGGCCGGCCGGCTCTGCCCACGGGCCGACTACAACCTCTTCGAGGGTAGGTGTCCCTGCAGGCCAGGCCTGTGGCCCTTGTCTCTGGCATGAGGGCCGCAGACTCGCAGCAGCTGTGATGACCGGGTGAAGTGGGAGCGAAAGGACACTCCTTGGGCTCCTGCTCTTTCTGCGGCACTTGTGTTTTCCGAGGTCTCCCATGGCCTCTTACCTCGTTGGGTCCTCGTGGGTGCCTGTGAGTGGGCAGACCAGGGTCCACCTGGCGACATGGACACAGACTCCAGGCCCACTAAAGGCCGCAGGGCTCCTGTCCAGGGGGAAGGGATGGGGACTGAGGAGTGCTGGGGGGCCTAGCTTAGTGGCTGGAGGCCAGGTCCAGAGCTGGCTCCTGGGCCACCCCCGCACCCCTGGGCACTTGGCTCAAGTCAGCAGCGCGTCACTGGCCCACCTGGCAGTCGGTGTGACCAACAGTCCCGCAGACGACCCTCACCTGGCCCAGGGCGTTCAAGTTCCAGTGAGCTCGAGGCTATTCGGTCTCTCAGAATTAACAAACGAAAATCCACAATGACTTACTTTTACCCAGGGGACTTCTGGAATTTCTGAGAACTCATCAAATGAGTTAATGTGTGTGGAAGTGGGATGGAAGGCACCGCACACTCACCTGTAGGAGACATTCGTGCTATGGTGTCATCCTGCCATTTTCACGGGGCGCCAGGTGGAGCTCCCGCCCTGATGGTGGTGGGGCCTGCAGCGCACCCGTCGGGCCCCTGGCCTCTGGCTGACTCCCCCAAGGTCAAATGCTAGGGGGCACGGGGGACGACACCCCAGGGTCTGCCCCACGCTCATCGGCCCTGTCTCCTTAGTGATCTGCTACCTGGCCACGTTCCAGCTGGAGGAACTCGGCTTTCAGCTCTTCTGTGACATTGTCCGGGCCCAGCCCGTGGACAAGATGCACAAGGTGAAACCCCCACCACCACCTCCCCTGCGTCTCCTTTTTTTTTAAGATTTTATTTATTTCATTGAGGGAGAACAAGTGAGAGAGAGCACAAGCAGGGGAAGCGGCAGGGAGAGGGAGAAGCAGACTCCCCGCTGAGCAGGGAGCCCGATGCGGGACTCAATCGCAGGACCCCGGGATCATGACCTGAGCCGAAGGCAGACGCTGACACACAACTCTTGTGCTGCCTGGCCCGGCCCAGTAAACGATCTGTTCCCAAGGCCCACAGCTCAGGGTGCACTTTTGGGGACCAGACGGAGGCATCATATTTCCTAGTCCACACGAAGCTCTCCTGGGGGACTGCAGCAGCACGTGGCCTCCCCTTCCAGCCAGTTTTCCAGAGCCTGGCTTGAGTGGCCTGTAGTGGTCCCCTGACTAGACAAGACCCTCCAAGCCGGAGTGTGGCTTCAGCTTGGTGGACACCCCTACAGAGCAGCCCCCCAAGAGGCCCAAGGTGTGGCCACCCCTCGGACAAGGGCTGGGGCCTGAGGTTCATCTCAGCAGTGCAGACGGCCGCTCCTGTGGCCACAGCCACCCCAAGTGATGGCCAGCCTGCTCTGCAGAAGCCTCCAGCTCCCCAAGGTGGCTGGCCTCCACTGAGAAGCCAAACTGTGCTGTATCTTCCAGAATCAGATCTGTTACACTTGAGGGTCCAGACTGGAAAGCAGTTGTTAGGACCCCACAGTCGCAGGAGACTCCTGCTGTGGCAGGGTCTGGTCCATCCCAGGGCACACATCCTCAGTCCCTTGAGGGCCCACCACTGGTACTGTCCTGGGCAAGCAGGGGCAGGCTGCCAGAAACGGTGCACCTCTGTTCTTGGTATTCTGGAGCCCACGGGGGGCATGGGGGGAGGCAGGCCACTGTCCGTCTGTCCCCACCAAGAACTCTCCAGAAGTGGGGTGTGGGCCTTGCAGGTCCTGGGCTGCTGGCTCAAGCACAGGGTCCGCACCAGTGGGGATGGGCCCTGCTTGGCTGGGGCATGCTCCAGGACTGGGGTGGGCTGCCCCGAAAGCCCAGATACCGTGTGTAGAAGTCCACAGGGGGAGGGGCAGCTCCCCAGAGCAGGCACCCCAGCCCAGCAGGTGAGCAAGGTCAGGCTCCCCTCTGTTCTGGGGAGGGAGGGTCTGTCATGAGGGGCCACCTGCCCTGGGGTGGACAGAGGTCTCCTCTCACGGTGCATTAGCCACACCTGCCCGCTGGACACTGGCTTTCTGTGTGGGGAGAGCTGGGGGTTTCACCAGGTTGGGGGGTCTGGGCCCGAGCCCCCCACAGTGGTTCCTGCTTCTCCCTCAGTTCCTCGGGTTCTTCTTCAATCCCTTAAACCTGTGCTCCTGGATCAAGGATGAGTGGAGCCTCATCTATGAGACCGCCCATGTGAGAGAGAACTGGATCGACCCCCTGATGAGGTGGGCCAGGCTGGGAGCCTCCCTGCACCCCACTCCCCAAAGCCGCCCTCATTGCCTGTCCCCATGTCCCCTGACAGGCTTGGGAAAACGCTGGTTTCACACGCACAGGCCAGGACCCGCAGGAGAAGGACCAGCATGGGGGGCAGGGTGAAGCTGCTCCCTGTGGCTTCCCTTCTGATAGGGCTGGGGGCGGGGTCCACCTTGTCTTCCTGGGGACAGAGAGACTGTTTGGGCACAAGCAGACCACATTAGATACCAGTTGTATACAGGAGACCAGAGGCCCAGGGAAGGCAGAAGCCCTTCCATGGGAAGGAAACCGTGGCCCTGGAGTTGTGGGATGTCCCTTGAGCTGCCCCTGCCCTGGAAGAAAGTCCTCAGTCCCAGCCAGGCTGGATTCACTGTCCGTCCACAGGGCTGCCAGCAGGAGCCCGGCCTGCGGGCCCTGGGAGCTACCTCCAGGTTCAGCCTGCTTCCAGGGTGCCCCACCCCCTGCCCCACCACCCCTACCATTGCCCACTATAGGACCAGCCCCATCCCAGACCTGCCTTGCCCCACCTGCCCCCCCTGAGATCCCACTCTCCGTTGGCCCTCGGACATGCCCTTCCTTCCTCTGGGGGCCGTGGCCCTCAAGCTGGGGCAGGAACTCTCCAAACCATGCAGTCTGCCCTCAGGGGAGCCCCACTGGCCAGGCTGCTGATGTGGGCCATGCCCTGCCCAAACTCCTGCTCCAGGGCAGCCCCTTCTCCACCTGTCACTAACGGCACAGCTCCAGGAACCTTCCAGCAATCTCCAGCTTGCCCTGGCCTCCTTCCCCTGGGCCGCCCGCTGGCCCAGATTAGCTCCATGTCCCCACTGCCGCTCCTCCTCAGACTCGCTGGACTCCGCAGCAAGGATCTCTCTGTCCCGTTCTCCCAGCTCCCCACTCACTCACTCACCAGCGTGGCTTGAGACCGGTGCTGCTGGCCCAGCTTCCCCACCTGCTGTGTGACTCTGGGGTGTGGCTGGTACCATGCCTGCATCAGAGACATTATCACCCCCACCCTGGGGTAGACCCAGGTGTTTGGGGGGGGGTCCTTTGGATCCCAAGGACCGTGCCCTAGTTGACCTGCTTTGGAAGTGGCCCTAAGCAGCTTCTCCCACCTTTCCCTTCAAGATGGCAGCCAGAGGTCCAGGAGCTGATCCACCAGCTGGAGGAAGTGATGGCCATTCAGCCCCCTCTCTCAAAGAGCAAGGCCAAGGTCACAGAGCCCAAGGAGTTCAACCTGACTGTCCCCCGGCCCCGCGCCATTCCAGTCCCCGAGCCGGTCCCTGTCGTGGCCAAGTCAAAACCAGTAAGTGCAGGCATTTGCCGTGGGCCCGGCTGTGAGCAAGTAGCAGGCTGGGCTCTTCCCAGGGCCGAGGGTGCTCTGGACCAGACCAGGAGTGTTTAATGACCCCACCCAGCTGACCTGGAGCCTGCCTGGTGGATTCCTGTGCTCCACATACTGAGGTCTGGTCAGTGACATGAAATGAGGCTGGGGGACCATGGGGCTCAGACCCATCTGGACTCGGCACTTGGAGCGTACTTGGAGCCTGTTGCAGCATACCTCTCCCTCCCTATTAAATAGTGCCCAGCACACACGTACATCACCATATACTCTTCAGGTCATGGGCCATTGATAATGTCTGTCTGTGTGACCCCAGTCATATGGGGCTGTCCCTACCCCAGGGCCTTTGCACATCTATCCCATCTGCCTAGACCCTCTTCCCCTCCCTCTTCTCCCTCTCCTTAACTTGCTGAGTTCTCCTGCCAGTTAGGATGCATTGTATTGCAAATAACAGGAAAAAGCAGCTTGATCTGGTTTAGACCATAGAGAACTAACTGCTTCTGGTTTGATCAGAGTCCTAGCTGTGCTTCTATGGGTCACCTTTATCTTTGGGCAAATTTCCGTCATTGTAGCAAACCATCCAGGACGTGAGAGGACATCTAGGGCCAAGAATTCCATGACGCTATGATTAGACCAGCTCAGGTGGCGGGCCTCCCCTTGAGTTGATCACCGTGATCGGGGTGCAATGTTCTGACTGGTTATGGTCCCTGCCCCAAGCACCTTGGTGGACTCAGCTGCCCAGAACCAATCTGGTTTCTTCACAGAATTGAGGATTGCATGGAGGGTAAGGGGGTGGTGCTCGGGGGCCCAGGGTCCCAACCCACTCCCACCACCCTTAGGTCTCATTGCAATTTGTCTGCCCAGAGAGGCTTTCCATAAACCCCTCACCTGTATCAGGTCCCTCGAGTTTTCAGATGCTCCTTAGACACACAGGGCAGAGGCCCAAGAATTAGGGTCTGGAGCTCAGGGCTTCCCAGGCTGTCCCTACCCCACCCCCCACGGACATGCCCCCTCCAGGCTGGCGAGGGTCCCCGTCACTAGACCCCACGGATACTTCTCAGGCCACCCTGGTCTCTGCAGTATTAATGCTGCGGCCCCTTCCCTTTCCTGGGCTCCATGACACTCACTTTCCTGGGCTCCATGACACTCTCCTGGCCTCACCTGCCCCTCCAGGCCTCCTCCCTCATCCCCTGGCCACCCAGTCACCTGCCTGTTCGTCCAGTGTCTCCTGGGCCTGGGCACTATGCTCGGCCACCTTCCTTCTTGCTGCTGGCCTGACATCCTTCCTTTCCTTCCCCTGGATGACCACCAGCACCCAGGGGATCCCAGTCAGAGCTCAGCAGCTTCCCTTCCAGCCCTGCCTCTCCTGGCATGGGCAGCACCCTCCCGCACCCACATCCAGCTGGCCGCCAGCCTGGCACCTCCACACACCCCTCTGAACCATAGCCGATGACGGCAGACTCCTCTCCCGCCACCCCACCAGATCCCCAGGAGCACCTACCAGCCGCCCAAGGAGCGGCAGCTGCTAGAGATGACCAAGAGATTTAATCGCTGGAAGGCCGAGGTGAGGAGCCTTCCGCGACGCCTGCCTTCTTAGAGCCCTTGGTGGGGGGTGGGAAGGTGGGGGGGTGGGAGGTTCTGTGCAAAGAATGGGGGAGGAGTGGGGAGCTGGTCCGTGCCCTCATCCCCTCTGGGGCCCAAGGACGCCGGCCGGTGGTCAGTAGGGCCAGAGTCACGCGCTGCTTGCAGGAGCTGCTGCTAAAGGCGAACATCGAGGAGATGCGGTGTGCGGTGCCCAGGTCCCGGGAGGAGCCCCTGATGCAGGTAACCCCCGGCGCTCCACACCCTGGGTCAGTCTTCATGGTGGCACGGACACATTGCTCCCAATGCCCTGCCAGCAGCAACACAATGAGCCCCTCATTTAGCCTTTCCAGGCTCGGTTCACAGAGGGGCAGGCTCCCCGAGCCAGGCTGAGCGCAGCCTGAGCTTGCAGGTGTGGACGCACCTCCCAGACCACTGCAGGCACGTGTCTTCCGTGCTCTCTGGGGTTCCCAGGTTCCCAGATTTCCGTGCTTAGCACCTAATATTTCTATGAGAAAAACAAAAACCCCAGTATGTTTGTCAATAAGGGAAAAGTAAAGGGAGCAGGACAAGGAAGGCCTATTCTCGGTGGCGGCTCACTCCTGAGGAGCTGGGCCGGCCCTGCCCTCCCCCTGTGGGCCCCCCTGGTGGCAGCCGGCTATGGTCCCCACAAGCAGCTGGGGCAGGGGGGGTGGCGGTGATGGCAGGTCCCCAGGAGGTGCCCTTCGACCCACAGCTCTGCACACTGCAGCCGTGGGGCCTGTCCCGGGGGTGTCCACAAAGCAGCGGGCCGAGAGCCAACCTGGGGAGCAGCCAGGAAAGGTTGTGGAAGCCATCCCCAGGGAGCAGCTAGGGGGACGGGCCCCAAGCCCGGAGGTTCAAGCTCCCCTGACTGGGAACCGCTGTCCTCAGGCCTGGCAGGCCCACTCTTTCCCTGCCCCCGTCTGGGAGGCCCGACACCCCAGAAAGGCTGGGGAGGGGACTGGAGGATAGGGTGCTACCCTGGGGGACGCACGTGCAGGGGGCAGGCTGGGAACACGGGTGAGTAGCTGGAGTTAGGATGGAGAGGAGGGAGCTGGCCCTCCCAGGGGTGCAGGGCCCACCACCTCCCCAGGGTGTGTTTAAGGGCACCTGGTGGGTATGGGTGCCAGGCCCTGCCTTCTACAGGCCTCCAAGAAGAAGCTGCAGCTCCAGTCCATGCCCCGAATCCTTAAGACTCCAAAGCTGACCTTCTACAAGGTGAGGGGTGCTCCTGACTGGTCCGGGTGGGCACGGGTATCAGTCCCCTGCCCCTGGACACCCACCTCCTGGCCTGTTCTGTGCCCAGGGCCTCGGATGGCCAGAGCCGGAGGCAAGGGCAAGTGGGAAGGGCAAGGGGCACCTGCTACCCCGAGTCTCCCCTCCCCCTCCACCCCACTGCAGCCGCCCCCCTCTCTCCTGCAGCCTAATGAGGTCCCGGTCAAGCTGAACACCGCTGCCATCCTCCGAGAAGGCTCTTTATACCAGCGGCAGGTGGAGCAAGAGCTGCAGAGGTGGGGGCGGCAGCTCCTCACCCCCCTTAGAGGAGGAGGTGCAGGGCATGGCTCTTGTGGGAATAGAGGGGGCCCGGTGGCTGTGGTGCTTTGGTGGGGTCCACAAGCAGGCCAGTGTTGGGGTCACAGCTGTATCCAAGGAAGATAATCCTGCCTCAGTGAGGGAAATGGACGGGACAGAAGAGGACTTAGCAGAAACCTAGCCCAGCCCAGACCTCTGTCAGGGGTCACCTCCTTTTCAGACCCCTTCCTGATGCCCCCTCCCCCCACAGACCACCAGCGTGGCAGACCCTGTGCTTACCCATGAGCTGGGCTGTGGGTGGGAGTTTGGGTGGCTGCCCAGATGGATGAGAGGACAGAAAAGTGGACAGAGGGATGGCCGATAGACGGGTAGATGGGGAAGGCCGATGGACAGTCCAGTGAGTAGACAAACAAGTGGCTGGAGGCTGGATGCACAGGACAGGGACAGGTGGACAGTGGGTGGGTGGTGTGGCTGGGACTGGGTGAAGAGCGCCCCACGCCTGTGAGGGCCACTGCCCCCCGGGGGAACCTGTGGCATCCCGGTTAGCCAGTGCAGGCCCTGACCTGGGGGGACCCCAAGCCCCGCCTCTTGCCCCCCTTCCCCAGGGTGGATAAGCTTGTGGACGGAGCCGGGGACTTCTCTGAGTTCCTCGAGTGGCAGAAGGAGATGCAGGCGAAGGACCGGGAGGAGGAACTGGCCGCAAGTGCGTGCCGGAGGCTGCAGGGGAAGCTGAGCCGCGAGGAGGCCATCCTGGCCCGGCAGCACCTCACGCAGGAGAACAAGCAGAAGGCCGACCAGAAGAAGGAGGAGGTGACGCAGCCTTGCGGGAGCGGCTGGGGGCCCGGGGGCCGGCCGGGGGGCCTGTCTGACCCCCAGAAGATGTGGGGCTGCCGAGGGCCATGGGCCTGGCTCTTCCCGTGGTGGTTGGGGGCGGGGGGGGCAGGGGGGTTCTAGAGGCTCTCTGGGCGGACAGTCGGGCCGGCACTTCTGGTCCAGACTCCCTCCCCACCCCCACCAGCAGAGTCGTCTGGCCCACACATCCACACATGAAGGAAGACCTGAAACTTCTGGAGAGCCCACATGTGGCACATTTGCATCTGGTGTCCTGTCCCATAGAAGGGTCTGTGGGCATCCACGTTACCACTTCAGGAGCTGTAGACATATTGGTCTGGGCTCGTCCTCCTGCCAGGACAGGCGGCCCAGGTGGGGACCCCCACCCTGTGTTTCCCTGAAAGCCTGTTCCTTGCAGAGGGCCTCCAAGGGGCCTGGGCTCCGCGGCCCAACTGCAGCCCTGTCCATCCTCAGACATGTGCCCCTGAGGACCTGCGGCCTCCTGAGCGCCTTTTTGATAAACTTGTCTGTGTCTGTTTCTATTAGATGTCAGGGTTTGCTTTTCCTTCCTTTTCAGTTTCCTTTCTTACAAATAGGAAGTCAAAACGATATGAACAATAGACCCAGAGGAGTGTCCCTTCTTGGGAGCCCATTTCCACCTACCCCCTCAGCTCTTATTTCCATTAATTTCTGGACGATCTTTTCTGTCTTTCCTTCAAAGCGAGTTTGTACACTTGCCTACACACACTTCTTACGTCCCTCTTTCCTTACACATGTTGTCAGTGCAGCATCTGCAATGAATAAGGCCCGTGCAAGCTTCTGGCGTCGGGGGAGGGGGGCTCTCAAGGGGAGCTCTTCCAGGGGACGTCGATGAGTAGAAAGTAACAGAACGCAGGGCTTTGGCTGTGTTGCCCTGTTCACGTTGTCCAGGGCATGCAGTCTCATCAGAGATGCTGCATTGCCTTCTGCAGGTGTTGTGCAAGGGGCCGGGCCCCCAGGACCCCGCCTGGGTGCACTGCACTGAATTCAGAGATTTGTGCTGAGCCTGTGGGCGTGACAGGGCATCTCGGCACCGTGCTGACGTGCCTGTCATGTGTTAGGTGTGGGGCTGAGCGTGTTTCATATATTTAAGACCCATTTCTGTGACTTCTTCTGTGAACTCTCTCTTCATGGCTTTTGTCCATTTTTTCACAGCTTTACTGAGACGTGATTGACGAGTAAGACTCCCATATGTTTAAGGTGTGTGATGTGACGGGGCGCCTGGGTGGCTCAGTCGGTTGAGCGTCCGACTGTTGATTTCAGCTCAGGTCACTATCTCAGCATTGTGAGGTCGGGCTCTGAGCTCAGTGTGGAGTCTGCTTCAGATTCTCTCTCCTTCCCCCTGACTCTCTCTCCCTCAAATGAATAAATAGAAACTATTATTTATTTATTTATTTTTATTTATTTTTTTTTTTTAAAGATTTTATTTATTTATTTGAGAGAGAGAGAGTGAGAGAGAGCACATGAGAGGGGGGAGGGTCAGAGGGAGAAGCAGGCTCCCTGCCAAGCAGGGAGCCCGATGCGGGACTCGATCCAGGGACTCCAGGATCATGGCCTGATCCGAAGGCAGTCGCTTAACCAACTGAGCCACCCAGGCGCCCTAGAAACTATTTTTTAAAAACTGGTAATTCTATTTTTAATTTTTTGAGGAAACGTTAAAATACTGTTTTCCATAATGGCTGCACCAGTTCACACTCCCACCCTCGGGCACCCCTTTTCTCCACATTCTCGCCCATATTTGTTGTCTTTTGACTGTTATGACAGCCATCCTAACAGGTGTAAGGTGATAGCTCATGGTCATTTTGATTTGCTTTTCTCCGATAACTAGTAAGGATGAGCATCTTTACATATACCCCTTGGCCATTTTTTTATCGCCTTTGGGAAAATATTCACATTCTTTGCCTATTTTTTAGTCAGGGTATTTGGCTCTTTTTTTGCTACTGAGTTGTAAGAGTACCTTGTGTATTTTGGACGTTAACCTCTTATTGGATCTACAGTTTGCAAATGCTTTCTCCCATTGCATAGGTGACTTTTTCATTTGGTTGGTTATGCTGTGCTGAAAACTTTCAGTTTGAAATAGTCCCAGTCGTTCATTTTTGTTCTTATTGCCTGTGGTTTTGATGTCAACTACCCACCCCCCAACATAGCTAAGGCCAACGTGAGGGAGCTTTTCTCCTGTTTTCTTCTACGAGTTTGTGATTTCAGGTCTTATGCTCAAGTCTTTAGTCCACTCTGAATTGATTTTTGTGTGTGCTGTGAGGTAGGGGTCCAGTTTTCCCAGCACCACTTGTTGAAGACACGGCCCCTCCCCACTGCGTGGTCTCTGTGCCAAAGATCCATCAGGCACTTTCCGATAAGCTCTTAGCCTTCATTTCTTTCATTTTGAAGAGTTCTTCACACATGGGGTCCTGGGTGGCTCAGTCGGTTAAGCGGCTGCCTTCGGCTCGGGTCATGATCCTGGGGCCTTGGGATTGAGCCCCACGTCTGGCTCCCTGCTCAGCGGGGAGCCTGCTTCTCCCTCTCCATCTGCCTGCCACTCTGCCTACTTGTGCTCTCTCTCTCTCTCTCTGTCAAATAAATAAATAAAATCTTAAAAAAAAAAAAAAAGCTCTTCACACATTAGGGAAAGTAACTCTTTATAGTATATTGTAGACAATTTCCTCCAGTTGGTCACTCAGCTTTGCTTATGATGTGTTTTGCAGTGCAAACTTACCAAGCTTTCCTTTTATTGTGTCCACATTCTGAAGAACAAAAAGAACGGTTTTTCCTATACCCACGTTAGAGAGCAATTGACCCATGTGTTCTCTAGTATTTGTATTTCATTTTTACATCTGGATCTCGAATCCACTCGAAGATTATTCTTGTACATGGTCTGAGATCTGGATCCACTTTTGGGGCCAACCATTTGAGTCTTCCAATCCATGAATGCACTATGTCTCTCCATTTATTTAAATTTTTTATTTCTTTCATCTGTGTTGTTTAGCATCCAAGTCCTGTACATGTTCTGTTAGATTTGTGCCTAAGTATTTCTTTTCTTTTTTTGAGTAATTGTAAGTGGTATTGTATTTTTAATTCTTGTGTCCATGTATTCAATGCTAGCATATTAAAATGTAATTGACTTTTGTGTATTGATTTTATATCTTGTGACCTTGCTGAACTCCCTTATTATTTTTCTAGGACAAACAAGGAGTTTTGTCATAGATTCCTTGGGATTTTCTATGTAGACAATCATGTCATCTGTAAAGAACAGTTTATTTCTTTATTTCTGAACTGCATTCCTATCATTTGCTCTTCTGGGCTATTGCACTGGCTAGAACTTCTAGGCCTGTGTTGGGTAAGAATGAGAGCATACATTTGTGCCTAGTTCCTGATATCAGGGGAAATCAGTCTTTCACTATTAAGTACTGATGTTGGGATGTAAGTTTTTGTGGATGTACTCTCTAGCAAGTTGACAAAGTTCCACAAGTTTTTATTATGAAAAGGTGTTGAGTATCATCAAATGCTTTTCTGCATCAATGGATATGATCATGTGACTTTTCTTCTTTGGGCTGTGAATATAGTAGATTCATGACAAAGTGATGAATTATTATCACATGACAGAGTTTCAAATATTGAACCAGCTTCGCATCTCTACCATAAACCCCACTTGGTTATGGTATATAATTCTTTTTATATATGCTAATTGTATTTGCTACTATTTTGATTTTTTTCAAGTGTTTCTGCATATAGTTTCACGTGGGATGTTAATCTGTGGTTTTCTTCCTTGGCTGACTTTGTCTGGTCTCGGTATCAGAGTCATACCAGCTTCATAAGATGAATTTGGAGGTGTTCTCCTCTCTTTTATTTTCTGGGGGAGATTGTGTAGAATTGGTGTCAATTCTTTCAACATTTTGCAAAATTCTCTAGTGAAATCATCTAAGCCTGGAGATTTATTTTTTGAAAACTTTCAAATTACAAATTTAATTTCCATTAAAGTTATAGGGCTGTTCAAATGCTCTGCTTCATAATGGGTGAGTTGTGGTTGTTTGTGTTTTTTTTTTAAGGAATTTGCCCATTCCACTAAGTTGTCAAATTTATGCATGTAGAGTTGTTTATAATATCCTATTATGACCCCCTTTTTTTTTCCTTAGTGTCTTTAGGGTCTATAGTGATATAACCTCTTTCATTCTTTTTTTTTTTAAGATTTTATTTATTTATTTGACAGAGAGAGACACAGCGAGAGAGGGAACACAAGCAGGGGGAGTGGGAGAGGGAGAAGCAGGCTTCCCGCCGAGCAGGGAGCCCGATGCGGGGCTCGATCCCAGGACCCTGAGATCATGACCTGAGCCGAAGGCAGATGCTTAATGACTGAGCCACCTAGGTGCCCCTCAGTCATGTTTTTTAATCCACCCTGCCAATATCTACTATTGGCATATCTGGGCCAGTTACATTTTTTTTTTAATTTTATTTATTTATTTGACAGAGAGAGACACAGCGAGAGACGGAACACAAGCAGGGGGGGTGGGAGAAGGAGAAGCAGGCTTCCTGCCGAGCAGGGAGCCCGATGCGGGACTCGATCCCAGTACCCTGGGATCATGACCCGAGCTGAAGGCAGACACTTAACGACTGAGCCACCCAGGTGCCCCATGATTGTCCTATTTTTGTTTCTCTTTATTTTCTTTTTCTTGCCTTCCTATGGGTTATTTGCTCATCTTTTTAAATTTCACTTTGATTTATCTATAGTGTATCTCTCTTTTTTTTTTAAGATTTTTTATTTTTTATTTGACAGAGAGAGAGTACAGGCAGGGGGAGCAGCAGGCAGAGGGAGAGGGAGAAGCAGGCTCCCTGCCCAGCAGGGAGCCCAACACGGGGCTCGATCCCAGGACCCTGGGAACATGACGTGAGCTAAAGGCAGATGCCTAACCGTCTAAGCCACCCAGGCGCCCCTATAGTGTATCTCT